AAGTCATATGTTTCACAACATAAAAAAGATCAACGATCGATTTTGTCACATGTGATAAAACGAATGTCCACTATGCTGGTATATATATACCTATAAAATTCGATGTGCGGAATGTGCGGGTGTAACGTAATACATTGTAAATTTTTTGCAGATGATTTCTAAATTTGTAAAAATCGGTATTAATTATACCGAAATTTACTATTAATATTAATATTAATATAGATTATAATTCGTTGATCACGAACTTTTCTTTTATGGTAATTTCTGGCACGTTTTGCAATGTAAGCAAAACTTACTAAAAAAGGAAATAAAATCAAAATCAAAAGTTTTATTATCTACATAATTTTATGTATCAGATCCCGTTTGTTATACTTATTTCTAATGCTCATGTAATTATTTTCACAGCAAAAATAAATTGAGAAATAAAGAACGTTTATCAGAAATAGAAGATTGTGATTTTGAAAAGCATATAAATTTTAAGAAAGCAACAAGGAGTTTCCAGATAAGAATAATAATACACATAAGAATAAGAATAATAATAATAATAATAATAATAATAATAATAATAATAATAATAGACAATGATAATTGATAATAATAATAATAATTGTTAAAAAAGGTATGTTGTAGATCATTATTATTATTTAGATTTAACACGTGTTTAATTCGAATTTTCCGTTGATGGATTGTTTTTCTGCAACACACCAAATTCTTATTCCTCATACAAATTTAAACCATTTCTGTATTTAGAAAATCTTAAACCTTCTCTGCGTTCGCTAAATGCCATCGACAAATTCATCTCAGGAATTCATTCATTTCATTTATTCATTTATCCGTTTAACAATAATACAATTCTATTATTGGCGTAAAAAAAAACCGATGTTTTTTATTTGTTTACCAAATTTGTAGTACAAAATCAAATGATTTTTTTTTTAGGAAAAAAAGTGGCTGAATTTTTAAATTATTGATATTAATGAAAATCTTGAAAATTTTTGTTTGTTTGTAAAACAAAAAAAACAAGAGAAAATCGACCGCTTATTAAGCTTACATAATCCTGCCTGTTAACAAAATGGTATTTTAATTTCATTGTTATTGTTTATAACCGCAAACGGCAAAAATAATTCGTTTCGCAAAAAAAATCATCCCACTTTTCTAATAATGATAAAAATAGATTATAATTAAATTTCCAGGTTGTGATTTTGTTTTTGTTTTTGTTTTTCATCAATGATTATTAATCATGAATTAGTTAATTCATAAGCAATAATCCTATTTTAAAAACAAACAATTCATTTTGTTTTCATTTGACTCAGTGTAAAAATTTTGCAATTACGATTATAATAAAAATATTCGGCATAAAATTTTATAAAAAAGATTTCTGACTCAAAACAATAATTTTAAATTCTCGTATTTAAGAAAAAAGGCGTTTTCCCCCGTAAACATATTTGTTTTGTTAGAAATATTACCACAAGATGATTTCAATCATAATGGAATTTAGCGGTGATTGATAAGAAAAAAGTCATTATCTTCTGGAACTTTTTTTCTCTTGTTGGGTTCGGTTTCCCAAAAAATAAAAAAAAATCAAAGCAACCAAATAAATAAAAACCCTTTAATCAAACTTACACAACAAACAATCCACTTTACAGATTCAATTGGTCTATGAAAAAGAAATATATTCTTCTTCGGTTAAATTACGGCGAAAAAATATTTAATAAAACGCAACTTGATAATTATTATCCAATTGTATAATTTTCCACTCCTATTTTCCTGTTTTCCTTTAATAACAAATGACCACACGTGTTGTTTGTCGCGTGTATTATTAAAGTTGATGGATTGCATTGTTTTTTATTAATGTGTCTTGTTTCTATCTAAGGAAATTAACAAGATTTTATGTAGTTATTAATATAAATAAATAATAAAGATTGATCATTCGCTATTATCATATGATGGATGATGATCCATTATATATAATGTACAATGTACAATATATACAATGTATAATATATATAATATATATTTAGATTTTTATATTTAGATATTTATATTTAATACTAACAACAATGCAATAAATGCCATTTGCGTGTGTGTACGTGTTACTAGGAGTGCACTCACGCACGTACGCACGCACGCACGCAATTTTTTTTAAATATGTTAAATGTTTAGATTTGATCTCAATAACGTCAATATTGAGATAGTTGGTGACAGGTATTCCCGTTATTTGTTTATTTCCCATTATATTCTTGAAATTCACGTGAATTTAGTCAATTGCCGGGGCGAATATCATCCGAAAATTATAATTCTCGCCAAGATTATTATTATATATATATATTTTATTTTATTTTTCAAATATTTCAACATAATACGCTCACTCACTACATACAAAATTAATCAATAAAATCCACCATATTATATTTATATAATGAAAAATACTATACAATTTATAAATAAATATAAATATATATGTAAAAAAGCAAAAAAATGGCAATTTAAATTAAATAAAATAATAATAAATAAATAAAAATAAAGTAAAACTTTTCATTTAAACATTTTTCAAAATCTAAAATTGAAAAATAATTACATGTGTGCATTGTATTAAATCATCTAGCTTACCAAACGATTCTTTCCTTTAAATGGTTTAAACGACGAATTTTCTGTTGATTGATTTTTTATTTCAAATGATACACTTGAATTTCTTCTCTCAGACTTACAATTAGTACATTTGAGTTGTCGATGTTGATCATTATTATCATTATTATCATCATCATCTATATCATTATTATTATCTATGTCAACCTCGCTATTAAGACACCTAAGATGAAAACCATGACCACATCGGAAAAGTATTAAATCATTTTCTTGAATATGTGCTGATGCTGTTGTTGATTCTGATTCTGATAACGCAATCTCTGATAATGCAGCCTCTGGTGGTGATGACTGTGTTTGTGGCTGTGTTTGCATTTGTAAAGGTGTATTAATTTTTTCTTCTGTCAAAATTTGTAAATATCTATTAATTTCTTCTTCTGTCAAAACTTGATCAGAAATACCTTGCAGTACTTCGATTCCTATTATTTCGTCAGAATCATATATTGTCGATGTTTTCGACTGCTCTTTCTTTGGGTTAACTGTGGTTTTTGTTTGATGATTTAATAAACTTATGTCCGTTCCCCAGAAATGCCCTCCGCACACTTCACAAGTTCCTCTACGAGGACGCCAGCCTTTACCACGTTGCTTTACTACACTCGCCACTCCCATAAACAAATCCTTTTCAAATAATCGATTGGTAAGGGTCAGCAATTGGCTTTCATACTTGTACGTATCAATCATTCCTATAAATATATCTCGAAAATCTGCCACTGTGCTATTTCTTCTGGATTGTGATCGTATGAATTTAAGTAGTAACCTTGGTAACGATACATAAGGTGAAGATGTCGATAACAATAATGACCTCAATATAGATTGTACATATGACTTGAATGTTGTTATAAGAAGATCTGCGATGTGAGTTGGTATAGGTGATTTCGGTGCTTCATATGTGTTATTGCTTAGTAATTTTTCTGATAATCTAGGTGGTCTTTGTGGTGTCACGCTGGATGTAATGGCCTTTGTTGCATCCAAAAAAGTATCCAAAAGCTTAAACCATAATAATTCGGACTCACTTTCTGTTGTCATTGTATCTCGATCACCATTATCATAAGTATTAATAGAATTTTTATCACTACCATCATCATTATCATCACCACTATCATCGTCATCATTGCTATCACGATTATCGTTATAATTACCACTGTTCACTATTGCACGTCGACAACTATTTTCACATAGGGTTATCGCTATTTTAAGAACTCCTTTTAATTTCATCAGAGCTGTTTCAATCCTTCCCTTTTCAATCAACGTCCATTGATTATTATTATTATTATTTTTCGAAGATTTTTTTTCTTCTATTAATATAAGGATATTTTGTCTTTTTTCTTGAACAATCTCTAGAATCTTATCAAGTGCCCCAACTGCGTTACCACTTTGTTCCATTATCCAAACAACTGAATCAACTATACCAGCCGAAATACAAGCAGGCAATATTTTCTCTAAGCGATAGGCACCTTGATGTGTTTTCAAGTAATGATAAACTCCCGTAGGATCAAATTTACACATCAATGTAATATATTTTTCGTGGATTTCGGGTTCTGATATCGAGTTTGAAGTTTCCAACCAGATAAGTTGCTCTTCAACTGTTTTTACAAATTTAATTTCATTATTTTTACTCACGTCTTCGGATGGTTCCAAAAGCACTCGAAGATATGTAAATAATCGTGCCGGTGATGATGATAAATTTGAAATAATGGTTTTATGATCACCGCTGAAAAATGCTTGTACGATAAATGCAGTTAATCCTCCATCTATATCAACAATTTCTTCAATTTTTTCCATAATTATCTGTGATACTTCTTGTCTTTGTGTTTCTGTGATATGGCTCTTAGGATTTAACAATTCCCGAATACAATCAAATACTTCATTTCTTCTTTCGGGATCTTTAAGATATGTTGATAATAGTAATCCATATTTCTGTTCGGCTTTGTAAACATTCTCTAATACTCTCCAAAATCCCGCACTTTCATACAACCTAACCATTTGATCTTCGTCCTGTGGAGTGTAAATAGATAATAAACATTCGACTGAAAGTTGTCTTTCTTCACGAGTATGTGGATCAGTGTCAAGACTAAGTGCGGCAAGTATTTTTTGCATTGCATTTCGAGGAAGTAAAAGGAATTGTGGGTATTTTGGTAAATTTTTAGCAACAAAACAATATAATTGTGAAATATCTGATTGAGAAAATTCTGATGATCCCCATGGTTCAGTTGTCATAACTTCTATTAGAATGTTTATTAATAATTGTCTATTAATAATTTTTCCGGGCAATTCTTCCTCTTCATAATAATCATCATCATTGTCCATGATTATCTCAACTCCATTCAAATATGAATCTTCAAATGCAATTTCTAAAGCTTGTAAAAATGCCTTTGTATTAAATCTTAAAAATAATCTAAGATATGGGTATATTGGTTCTCTTCCTTCAGCTTCGTCTTCCGCAGTCAAAATCAATTCACCCCCATTCTTGGGCCAAATTATACAACGTCCTGAGAATATAAATGAATATAAATTTGTTCGAGCTTCATTTGCATCTTTTTCATTAAGTGGAGCTCCATTAGGATAAGTATGGCCGGTAAGTATATTTTCCATATAAGTATAAAATTTACGAGCATCAGCCTTCAAAACTTCTAAATCATCCTCTTCCATTGAATCAACATGATCTGTTATTCCGTTGAATCGGTGTTCTTTCTTTTTCCGTTTCTCTAAACTTAATACTTTTTTGATTAGTCCAAGAAGTTCTACAGCTGGATTCACGTAATCATCCATTGATCGATTCCAAACATATATCAATGCATCATAAAGTTTTTCGTTTTTACATAATTGAACAACTTGATCAATATCTAAATATTTTGGATTAATATGCCATATACATTGTTCTATACGTGTAAGCAGTCTACAATCTCGATAATGTGTAACAAGATCCTTCATGATTTCTGGTGGTAGCTCTTCCATTTTATCATCAAGAATGTATGGTTCCAAAACCTCAAGCAATGTTCCTTTGGCAGAAGCATTTGAATATCGTTCATAAATGTCATTAAAAAGAAATTCCTCTTTATGCATACTAAGACATGCCTGAATACATGCTACTGCAAGATCATGGAATAGTACATTATGTTCGTCAGCCATCCCCGCAAATGTTCGTTCACTAGAAAATGCATAATTTATAGAAGCGTTTAAAAGTTCCATAAGCTTCCCTCCAACAATCATGTGACGAATTTCCTCATTATCTGGTAATCCAAGAATTGTCTGCGAAGTAGTACCATTATAATATGATGTGGCCAAAGCTATCGCCTCAAGATAATCACCAGATTGTACAAATGCAAGTATACGATCTGCCCATGATAAAAGTGATCCAACATAAAGATTTCGTACGCCCTTTATAAATCAATAATATATAAACATATTCATTATTTATTCAAGGATACGATAAATAATAAATAAAATTATTTTACGTACAAGTAAATATACATGACTCTTGTATATACGTAAACTATGATAATAAGCCAAATCTACTGTGTTTTTAATAGAATCATCTGACCTATCAATTAAAAGTGAAGAGAAATGGTTATGATACACTAATGAACGATGACGAATATTGTTTTGTTCACTTTCTTGCATATATCTAGGATCAAAAACAACTATGTCTTCTGTGTTTGTCAAAATCAATAAAATCTAAATAATAATATCCAATGAAATTAAAAAAAATATATAATCTAGTTTGTTTATAATATGTATGAAAAATCCTTACATGAGGAGAAAGCCATTGCAGTGCAACAATACTATTTCTAGCTTTCCATTGTCCAACTTTAATAAATTCCAAAACAAAATCAGGCTTTCTTTTACTTTTTGGATGTTCGGGTTGAATGACTTGTGCAACAGTAATTTTTAATATTGTTAAGTGATTACCCCAAGAAAACGCGAGCAAAGGATCAGTATGTTCAATTGGAGTTTCTATAATATATATATATTAAATACATATTGAAAAGCAACAATTATACCCTCACATACACACACATGTACATTGTATGTACGTTACAACAAATTTTTTTTTGGGTTAATCTTTACCTGTGTTAAGTTGAAATTTTACAGCAGGATACCATGCAAGACAACCTGATATTGACTTTGATGCTGTAGAAGAATCTGTAGAGATATTTTTTGGTTTTAAGTCTTTATAATGAGTATGTATTGTTGGTTTTGTGCTTACTATAATCATCTACATACATATATATATATATATAATTTAAAATCATTACAAGTGGCATTAATAATGATTAATAATAATGGAGATAATAATAACAATAAATGAACAGACCTTATAGGGTGTTAAAATAGCAACTAATCCGAACCCTTCAGAACCATGAGGTAATTGGCCAAAAGGCAGTGGCGCTAATCCAAAAATAGTACTTGGTCTTTTTATTTTAGAACCGACATGAAATTCATTATGTGATGATGATATTGGATATCGCCCAATTATACGTGTTGTTTCAGTTGCATTAAACAACATGACTTTATATAGGTTATGAAAGAATGCCAACCCCTATTTTTATAATCATTAAAAAATATATATATAAGGTCAAATATTGAAAATTATAATCGGACTTGGTGGTGTTTTAGGACTTGATTATTATTTCTTAATTTTAGTAGTAGTGGTATTAATATTTAAATAAAGTGTAACCAAACTAACTAAAGCCATTCTAATATTTTACTATTCACTCAATATAACATACATGATTATCTCCAGAAACAATTCCATTTTTGCGAACGCCAACAAAGCCAACATGTAAGATAGCTGAACCATGAATATGACCTTCCTTTTTCCCACCAGCTACAGCACCTGAAGAAATAGGCAAGATGGTACGTATTGGACTAATTGGTTTATTAATATCCCATATTAAAATATATCCTTGTGAATGGCCACTTAATATTTGACTATGGTCAGAGGAAATTGCAAGAGATGTGACAGCACCGTATTCAATAGCTATTGAAAAATACGATATTGTAAAATAAAATTTATTAGGATAAAGTTACCCTATGATTATTTGGCCATTATATAAATAACTTTACCGTTAGAAGTAGATCCAAGTATACATTTTAAAATCTCTTGCGGATTCTCATAGACCAATACTAAACCACGAGTCGTACCTATCGCAATCACTCCACTAACCTAAATAATTGAATAAAAGTGGGATTTTTTTTTAAAAAAATAGGATATGTTTTCTATTTAATCCATTCATATTAATAGAAACACTTACAGCCAATACAGTTGGTAATCCAGCACTTTGACTAACATTTTGAGAATATAAGTGATCAGAAATTTTATCCATAGGCTTCCATCTAAATGCATCCCATGGTTCCGGTGGTGTTGAAAATGCAGCATCTTCATTAAACAACATAGAAGGTGATGATGAACGTGAAAAATGTGATGAAGCTTTTGATTTAGCTGAAGCAAGCGATGCTGACGACATAGTACGAAGTTTTGAAACATTAGAATCATAATAAGATTTTGATATCCGTGGTGACATTGGTATATTTGAAGCGGTTGTTGATGTCGTTGATTTATATGATATATCTGACAAAGTGTCCTAATTTTAGATAATCCAAAAAAAAAGTTCTTTATTTTTTCTTTAAAATAAAAATAAATTTTTTTAAAAAAAATTTCTACCTCAAAAGCATGTATTTCCGATTCTGTATCCAAAGTTTCCGAATCAATAAATTCGTCTTCGCTAGATCCGTCAGATTCATTTAAAATTTTTTCCAGGCTAAGGTGTTGAGCTATTTATAATTAAATGAACCAATTATTATTTGATAAATTTGAATAAATGATAAATAAAATAAAATAAAATCTCAATAGTTGCCTCTATTCACAAATTCCTCATATAAAGCAATATCTTTCATAACTCGTTCAAGAAGATCAGTAACTTTTCTTCGGCGCTGTATCCCCAAAGTTGATGGATCAGCTAAAGGTCCACCTTGCAAATGGATCTGTAGATCTTCTTGAAGTTGATATAATTCTGAAAGTGCCACTTTAATTGTAGCTTCTGGCGTAGTTGGAAGTTCAAGTTCTGGTATTCGAAGTTGATTAAATGATCTTTCAATTTCAACCAATGAAGATACTCCATTTACTTCAAAAAAATAGTTGGATTTTAATAATTATGTAAAATTAAATCTATAATTATAAATTAATTTTTATATTTACCTAAACGAGAAATCGAACCTTCCGAAATTTTTGGTAGAGGCTCTTTTTCTTGAATCTCTGGTATTGGGGTAGGACATCGCATAATTATATTATAACCATATGCTTTAGCGAGATAAGAGCAATGTTTTTTTAAACCAACTAATATGCAAATGGGGTAAATACGGGTCAAAATGATAGATAATTCAATAAAAAAAAATGAATTTTATAAAATTTTTTTTTTTTTGAAAGTTTGAAAGCTTGATCCTAAAGAAGAGGTAAATATATCATTTAAAGAAATTTAACCGCACTGCGTGTAACCTTAAAGTTACACTAAATTTTAGTTATTGTGTGACCTTTTTTTTTATCCACGGTTTAAAATTATTGGCTTATTCACCGAAAAAAAATAATATTTAAGTTTATAACGATAGTATTGTTAATTTATTTGTTTTTTATAGAATGATCTTCTATGCACATTGATATTAATCTATCAATTGATTATTTTTTTATCTCCAACCCAAGATACAAAAAAAATTGTTCCGAGGGAATACATCAAAGCTACTAAACACCAGATAATACCCCATTGATTCCCTGTAACATCTAGAAGCCACCCATTTATAAATACACCTATTATACCTGCCAAAATACCCGCAGTATTACCTATTGCATATATAAATCCCGCATATTTAGGAAGAATCTATAATCACGGGTAGAATTTTCCACACACAATGTCAACCACAAATTATTATAAGAAGAGAAAACACAGAAGCAGACATTAAAACACTTACATCGAACTGTGAGATGTTTAATATAATATATTTATAAACGAATTAGGAGAAAAAATTAATTTATTACAATATTTATTATAATTACATTTGATTTTACCTGTGAAATTGATGAGCCAATCAGTACAAAGGTTCTTAATCCTAATCCGACACCAATTACTATTAATCCTTCTATTGGATTAGTAGCTAAAAATGACACCTAGTATTGCTTGTGTTGTTATCATTATTATTCAAAGTGTATTGAACCTTTCTTTCAGAAATAAAAAAACATATACATACATACATAACAGACAATGCTATACCAAAACCACCAATTGATTGTGCTATCCTTCTTACGGTTCTTATGCGAAAATTCATTCTGTGAATCATAAAATCTCCCACAATGCCAGCAATCAATCCCATTATTGCTTGAATTATATCAGGAAGAACTAAAAATAATATGATTATGATTTTGTGTATCTTTATCCAAATAGACCAGAGAATTTTGTTTCATACCAGCAAAATATCCCAATTTATTGATATCTATTCCAAAACGATCCAGATAATATGTAGGTAACCAGGTAACCATAATAAAAAAACCAAATGAATTAAAAAATGTAGCCAAAATAATAGCCCATACTTCTCTTCTAGAAAATATAATTTTCCATGGAATCCGTTTAATCTTGAACTTTTCTGGAGCAGATAAATCTTTTAATAAATTTCTATGAGATCCTGTTTCTTGTTCTTCATTAAGAGCTTGCACCAAATCATCATCATCATCGTCATCATCGTCATCGTCATCCAAGTTAGTATTATTGTTTATAATTATCTCATCATTATTTAAGTCACTATAAACTATATTAACATTGTCGGTTTCCTTATTGCTATTATCTAAAATTAATTTTAACTCTTCTTGACTAATTCCCGGATAATCACTAGGATTACTGCCACCATAAAAATGCCACAATATAGACCAAATAATTCCCATGAATCCAAATACCCAAAATATACTTGGCCATCCAAAAGGACCTGAACCTAACCATGTTGAAAGTGGTAAAGCAAAAAACGAGGCCGAATAGGCTGAAACTGTAATAATTGTGGCAGCACGGGAATTTTCTTGTTTTGGAATCCATGATGCAATCATTGAGTGAATACATGGAAATGCAGCTCCTTCTCCAACCCCTAAACAAATTCTACATAAAATAAGATAGTTCAATCCAAATTTGGCAGAAATTGGTGTAAGAAGTGTAAATAAGTTCCAACATGCGGCAGCTATTTGCGAATAAAAAACAAACCATTGATAAAATTAAATGATTAAAAAAACCACAAATTTCTTCTATTTACTCACAAATTCCAAGCACCATCTTCCCACCAAACTTGTCTGCAAGTATTCCTCCTATAACTTGTGTTAATAAATACCCTACAAGGAACGATGAAAGTACCAACCCTTGAGTAGTGAAAGACCATCCAAATTCAGCAGCCATATAAATTATGGCGATAGAAATATTCATTCGGTCTGTCAAACAGTATTCTTTAATTTTGATTTGTTTTAAAGATAATAATAAATAAAGAATTCTCTTTAATTCATAATACCAGCATAATTAATAGCAACACCAAGAGAACATAAACCAACGATTATAAAGCGTTTTGGAATATATAAGGTGCTAAAAAACATTCTTTAAAGTTTTTTTTTAAACTTGATGTTTATATTTTCTCAATGTTTACTGTAATAGTCTGGGATGATGGATGATTGCATTCATGAAATTCATTCATTTAGGTGGTTACACATATCAAAGCAGTTAAAAATCATATGTTGATCCATCTGATTTTGATATATGTAACCCTTAATGAATATTCATGAATCTCATGAATGCAATCAACTAGTCTGGGTTGTTGGTTACAATGGTTGATAATTCAAGTCAATATAGAAAATTACCATGTGCGGATTTTTTAATGTTACGCATATATACCATCAAAACAGGACCGGGAAACCTCTATTGAATGTCACCGCCAACACTATGATTCGAAAGTACTTTTAAAAAAAAAGAAGGAAAGGTGAAAATAAGAAAAAAAAAATCACGCCATAGGAATTACTAACTAGCCTATTTTTGGTTAAATAACCGATTAACTTTCGAGATTCGCGTTAATATGGTCAGCCCTCAATCGGCCGGACCTATCAAAGCGTTAATTGAAGATTCAGATAAACTTTAAAATGTAAAGGCTTGATAACCAAGTAAGCCAGAGGAATAATATTTCTGCAATTGTATTTTCAAACATTCGATTAATAGCCTGTCAGAGAGAGTTTTTTTAATAAAAAAAATTTATAAAGGTTCAAAGTTATCATTTTGATTTACTATAATAATGGAAATTTAGATAAACTTTAAAATGTAATAACCAAGCAAGCTGCGAAATAATCTTTCCACATTGTATTTTCAAGCACTCAATTAATGTTCCTATCAGAGAATTTTTTTCATTTATATTAATAAAAAAAAAATTTTTGCAGTTGTCACAAAACTTTCAAAAAAATCCGCATATATGAAAATTTTTATTATTAACGTTATTATTTTTTGATGATCAACCGTTGTGACCAACCCCAGTAATAGTAACGTTTCTTCAATTGTATAGATGTTCCATACGCGTGGTCATGTGCACAACACGATACGCGTAATGCAATTAATTGCCCATGGAAAAATGTTTCCTTTATCTAAATGCTAATGCTAATGCTAATACTAATCAATACTAATAAACACTTGATAAAATTTTTGAATCATAATTAATTTTATAACAGAGATTTTAGAATCACATTACACTTAATTTAATTAATTTAATAAGCTTCTCCTTCATTGAGATGTAATATTCACATAAAAAGGAGTAGTAATTTTTTGTTCTTAAATATTCTTAATACCTAGAGATAGATAGTTCTTATAAAAATTTTATTTCGAAATTGTTGTCTTTACTTCTAATCTTAAAAGAAAAATATTGAATTATTTATAATTGTTTGCAGATGATTGACAAAAACGCGTGACACGAGTAATGTGCATGTAAATTTCAATTTTCGTATTTCTACTCATGACTTGTGTTTTTTCGATGTTTGATTGGTTGGTGTACGGTCGTTATTATTTTTATCATGACTTCTGTGATGTTTACTTCTATCTCTTTCTTTACGACAATTGTAGTCGTGACTAGATTCATATTTGTGTTTCCTGTATGTTTGATTGGTGGGCGTATGGTCGTTATTGTTTTTACTGTGACTTCTATGATGTTTATTTCTATCTCCTTCTTTACGACAATTGTAGTCGTGATTTGATTCATATTTGTGTTTTCTCGATGTTTGATTGGTTGGTGTACGGCCGTTATCGTTTTTACCATGATTTCTGTGATGTTTTCTTCTATCTCTTTCTTTACGACAATTGTACTCATGGCTAGATTCATATTTTGGTAAATCATCAGGATTTGCTGGTAAAGGACTTGTCTGAAAATATTTGTGATTCAAGGCTTCAAAAGCACTAAGTCTTTTTTCAGGGTCTAGCACTAGTAATTTATCAAGTAAATCGGCAGATATGGCGCCATGTTTTCTATATTCATTGAAAATTTTGTAATTGATTAATAATCTTGAATAGTTGTTATTAACTAAATAATCTATTAATAAATAAAATGAACTTACGGCTCAAATTCGTTAAAAATGATTCTTGGATATTCTCGAAGAGTGAAAGAGGATGCAACAGGCAACTTTTTCCATTTTGGCCACACTTCTTCTGAAGGTGTGCCACATAATTTGCATATTTCTAGAAGTTGATTAATGTCTGAATTTCCCATTAGTATAGGACATCTTTTAAGCATTTCACCAAAAACACAACCAATCGCCCATATATCAATTGCAGTAGTATAATGTCTTTCACCTAATAATATTTCAGGCGCTCGATACCAACGAGTGACCACACAAGCAGTCAAAGCCTTGTTTTTTACGGGCCTCGATAAACCAAAATCTGCAATTTTTAATATTCCAGTGTTATCGATCAACAGATTTGCTGCTTTTAAATCACGATGGATTATATTTTGTTGATGGAGGTAAAGGGTTCCTTCAAGTAGTTGTTTCATATAACATTTTATTTGAGGAACAGAAAAAATTACACTCTTGTTTTCAATAAGTCCAGCTAAATCATGGTCCATGTAAGGGAAAACCATATAAATTGGTGAAGTTCCTTGAACTTCGTGGTTGTAAGAAATAGCCATATCGGAAAGAGTGACAATATTTGGATGACTTAGTTGATGGAGGATCTTTATCTCACGTATTGCTGTCAATGGGATTCCTTCTTTTTCATTGTGCATTAGAATTCTTTTTAATGCTACTATTTTTTTGGTTTTTTTATGAACACCTTTGTGAACTTCACCAAAAGTTCCTTCTCCCAATTTATCGGCCAATTCATAATCTTCGATTGGAGAACATCCTAAAAACTGATCGACATGTGTGGTTTGGGGTAAAGAGTAGGTAATAGACTGTTTGATGAAATTTTGGTGTTGAATTGAAGAACCGTAATTCTTTTCAAGATAGCTAGCCAAAGATCCGGTATGATTTGAATCCGTGGTGGTAGAAGTAGTTTCGTTAATTGAAAAAGTTGAAGAAGATGGTAGAGGTTCTGTTGGTTGTATTAATTCTGTTGATCGTGTTAGTTGTGAGGGTGAACTAGAAAAATTTTGTTTCTTGATATGCTTTGACATGTTGACCATTATCATTATCAATCTGTGATGTCTTTTGTTTTGTTTTTTTATATAAATACTATAATATACAAAAAATTATTTATTTTTAAAAAAAAGAAATTTTTTTTTGTGAATAAAAATGAATGAATGTCATGTGTGTGTGATCGCCAATTTTTCGCGTCAAATCTCACATTTTTAACATCATAAAGTATTAGTAAGTTCAATTTTTTTATTACCTGTCAAAGATATTAAATCATAAAAAATTTAACCATTTAATAGAATGAAATTAAGTTAAAGTGGATAGCATGAAAAAAGGAAATTTTTCAGAGCGTCCCAATCAAGGAAAAATAGAAGAGATCTTAAATCAACACATAGAGCCAAAAAAAGTGACATCGGCAAACGACAAGATTAAAGCTGTAGAATGTAAAATAGAACCATTCGCTGGCCAATTATTGGAGCCTTTCAAATATATGTATCAAACAATTGCAAAAAAAATTCAAAGTAACTATTTAATGAAAATTTGATTTTTTTTGATTTTTTTTCTAGAAAAAAATTCATCTTTGAAAAATTAATTTTTTAAAAAAGTTTTGGAAGATCGAATTGATTCATGTGTGGAAGTTATAAGTGAACATTATAACAAAGAAACTTTATGTGATCCTACTATTGTCGGTGAAGTGTGTATAAAAAAACAAGCCCATATTTATATTTATATATATATACACTCTTGGATTAATTATCATTTATTTATTTGATTCTAGAGTAAATTATTCACAGTTGGTAAAATATGTTGTGATTCAGAAGGAAGACTTAATCCTGAATCTGCAATGCTGGTAACTTCAATTAATCTTGGAGAACGTGTTATCAAGTTGTTTCTAAACGATCTTCCATCATTTTCTTTATTTCCTGGACAAGTAAGATTCCAACCATTTAGCATTACATTCCATATATCTTCTCTAATACTTTCTCTTTATTTAGATTATTGGAGTTGAAGGAGTTAATAATACAGGAAATTGTTTGTATGTAAAAAAAATCTACGAGGTAAAATATTCCCCCAAAAATCGACATTTAAGTTAAGCATTTATGTTATACTCACTGTTTACTTTTTTCTCTCCCAAACAAAAAAAGTTGCCATTATTACCATTTTATCGATCTCCAAACCAAATAAATGAAAATGATCAAACATTAATAATTAATGACTACAGTAGCAGCAGCAGTAGTTCGAAATCATTAGAAGTGGTATTTGTAGCTGGTCCATATACACTTGACACTGATTTAACATTTGAACCATTTAAAGAATTAATTAGAAAAATGATCAAAGAAAAACCTAACATATTGGTTCTGGTAAAAATAGATACTAATTTTTAATCAAGAACAATGGTGGTGATAACAATATGGTTAACATTTATTGACTATGTATTAATTTATTTGTGTAGATGGGGCCATTTGTTGATGAAAATCATCCAATTATTCAGCAAGGAAAAGCAACAATGCTGGTTGATGATATTTTTAATAATAATATTACAAAATATTTGGATGTTTTGATTAAAGACTCACCAGATATAAATGTTATTGTGATTCCTAATCCTAGAGATGTAATTCATGAATATCCAATATTTCCTCAACCACCATTCAATAATAGATTTTCAAAGGTTTGCAAATTTTTATCAAGTATGGTATTAATATGGTATTAATAATATATTCATATTCATACTAAAAAATGGCAATATTATATAATTTTAGAACACCATCACATTGCCTAATCCTGCACAATTTAGAGTAAATGATGAGATTACATTTGCTATAAATAATGTTGATATTTTGTTTCATTTGAGTGTGAATGAAACATCAGGGTAAATTTATAATTATATTAATTAAATATATGTGTGTGTATGCAAATATATTAATCCATAATTTAAATATCATCAAGTAATTGTGATTCAGATAGAATGGGAAGATTAGCTAAACACATCTTGACCCAAAGACAGTAAGTACTATTAATAACAAAATGATCATTAAATCAATTTATATATGAATTAATCGATTGATTGATTAATTAATGGTTTTAGTTTATATCCATTATTTCCACCTGTAATTAATGATATAAATCTTGATGTAAAAAACTCATCAAGTCTTCAATTACAAGCAACTCCTGATGTACTTGTAACTCCTTCAAAATTAAAATTTTTTGCAAAGGTAAATGTTTACATATTATATAACATCATATAAATCCGTCTAATTAAGTTATATTGATACCAATTAATTAAAATATACAATAATAGATTATTAACAATGTGATTTGTATTAATCCTGGCTACGTTTCTAAAAATCAATCCAATGGGACATATGCAAAATTAACCATTCATCCACCACAACAAAATAATTCTGAACCAGAACAATTTATTTCAAAGAGATCAAGAGTAGAAATAATTAGATTGTAATATTAAAAAAATTTTAATTTTTATATTTTCATTAAGAAAAATTTTTTTATCAAGGTTTTTTTTTTTTCAACATATATACAACATGTATGTTTAGTTTTCTAGATATTCCATATATGATTGTTTCCTGTAATCTTCCTATAAATATATAATATATAAATCAATTTTCAATTATATATTTAATCAAGAAAAATTTTCCCTAATACATGTACAGAACCAATGTTGTTAAATATATTCATTAACCTTCCAAAGTCGAACATTTCCACATCAGATCCTGAAACAACACATTTTGAATCCATACTAAATTTTCGTTTTGCGTGATATATATCCCAACTGTGTCCTTGACGTGTTGGAAATATTCTGAAAGTTTATTGAACGAATCGGATCGAGTCGAATCAAACCGGATTTTTAAATTTAAATTTAAAATTGATACTATATCTTAAAATAAAAGATTTATATCCTATAAATAATAATAATTACAAAATAAGTACTGAATAGATACGGGAAAACGTATTTTTGATACAGAATGTATTAGAACAACGCATTGTTGATACGAAATACATACAGAAGAATGCACTTCCCGTACCTACAGATATGAAAACGGCACGGAACCATACGGTGTCAGCGCGGAATATTTTTGGTGCATTATTATTTTAATACGAAAAACACGTAGTAGTAGGAAAATCCGTTTCCTCATGTTTATAGTACTAGAAAGTTTATTTTCAGTATGTATATTCCGTACATAATTTTTATAAGAATGAGAGACGCATAAGAAATTTGATTTAAATCGCACGTATTCAACAAATTTTATGTGAAGCAAAATTTAAATTCATTGCGAATTTAATTTAAACAAGATTCGTTGAAACAAAGAATTAATTTATTTACATGTTAATGTATTAGATAGTATATATCGATCCGAATCTAATCAAATCATTATTCTTGGATTGATTTGAATTGAATCCGAATCGAATTTGTTAATGCCACCCGCTTTATTGCATTCGCTGGTAGGAAATATGTTTAAGTTAATTGGGGATGGACATGCTAATGTATTGATGATTATTTTCACAAGTACATGAATTACAAGGTGGAAACATACCAAACCTTCACAAGTAATGGTACTAGTTTAAATTTCGATTGTGATTTTGCTAGGACTTATCATTGTCTTAAATTTTTTAAATAAAAAAAAACTTCCTTTAATGTAATACTTATTACCAACTTGGGTAAATTTAATATAAAAGGTGTTGGGTAAACTCATTAGCATTGGTAAAATTTGAAAATTTTAGTTATGTAGTTTCCGGGGTCCCATATAACAAACAATATTGCGAATATGACATGAGTGATAGTAATAGTTCACTATTTAGTAACGGAATGTAAGCACGACAGAGTAATATATATGTTGATATTCGGGATAATATACTCTATATTTCTGGTAAAACTAAAGAAGAAAAAAAACCAAAGGATCAACTCATATTCAAGAATGTCGTTGGGTTTTTTCTCTCGTGCACTTGCACTCACACGTAATGTGAAAGCTGATAATGTCGTTGCTAAATATGAGAATGGTGTTCTTGAGGATAAAATTCCTAAAGCTGAACAATCTAGCAAAAAATCATCATCAAATAGCTTACAATTAAAAGTTGTGATAAATAAATTTTAATTTAATAGTTGTTGTTGTAAATTTACATGTTTTGAAATTTCTTTTAATGTTTCTACACAAGTCGCTGTTACCACTTGCTCTTTATTCCTTTTGACTAATTCAATTAATTTCTTATGTATACCTGACTCGACCAATTTCTCCACCATTTCTTTATTATTTGTGGATGCTATATTTTTCAAACACTCGACACTTCGATGTTGCAATTCAACAGATTGCTCATCCAACAAATCTTTTAAAGTTAGTAGACCTCTTGGTCTTTCCAATATCATCTTGCACACATTTTGATCTGTTGACAAGATTGCTAAACATCCACTTGCCGCTCTCCTAGTCTCAAAATCATCTACGTCTGATAACGCTACCAACACTTTTATTTTATTTTTGGATTTCTCGTAGTCACTATACCTCTCAAATATTGGTTCACAAAACATCAAATTACACAAACATTCTGTTGCTGCCCTTCGAACCATTATATTATCAGATAATTGTAGATTTTCCACTATACCCAATCCATCAAGCCGATAAATATGTAATCTGATATTATCATCTGTGCTAGATAAATTTGTCAGTGCCATCAATGATTCAAACTGGCATAATTCACTTTCGCTTTTACACAAATTAAGCAACGGTTTCACCAAATCGGTCGATCGCTCGCCTCTAAAAACAAGATTTGGATTCATCGTGATTGCAATTTTTGCTAATGCTTGTGTTGCATATTGTTGCAAATTTTCTTTGGTTCCTTTTGTTGGTGCCATTGTTGTTTTCGCTGTTGTTGTCATTGTTGTCGTTGTCATCGTTGCCAATGGAATTAAAGCTTTTATAGCACCTTGTTGTACCATCAATCCATGATTTGATCGATCTCTTGCCAGATTTAAATAAATATTTGCAACTAGTTGCTTAATTACTTGACTTTGATTTTTTGATAGTTTGATTAG